TCAGAACAAGAACCTGAGATTCGGATACGCGGACGATATATGCATATACCACACTGCACCACACGTCCGCCGAAGCGTCGCAGTGCTCCAGCGCACGGTACGACAAATCATGAACTGGGGTGACGAGAACAAAATCGGGTTTGCCCCTGAAAAACTGGAAATGATTCACCTATCCCGCCGGCAAGCTACCTACACCCCTAACCTGGTAGTAAACGACAATCTCACGATCAGAGTAATCTCCGGTACAGGGGACACAAGTGAACAGCCCGCGCTCCGCTGGCTAGGAGTCTGGTTTGACCGTAAGATGACCTTCAAAAGGCACCTCGCGGAGAGAGAAAAGAAAGCACGCAGAGTCGCGCACCACATCAGAGGACTAGCCAAGGACAAGAACGGACCCCCAGCGGCGTCCCTGTGCAAGGCAGTTATCACATGCGTGCTTCCATCCATACTATTCGGCTCGGAAGCGTGGCACCAAGGACGGATGAGACCTAGCCGCTCAGGCGGGGCCGCTAGAAACACTATGGTCAGCACCAGGCTTGGCTCCCACATCAAGAGAGTGGATCGAATTATAACGCTGGCTGCCAGAGGAGTTCTGCCAGTAAAGAGGACCTCCCCAACAGCAAACATACTGAGGGACGTAGACCTACCATCTGAAGTGATAGCACTCAAGCATGCCAGAACAAATTTGCTATAAGACTGAAAACTGTTGACACAGGGCATCCACTAACCACCCGGCTCGCAAATCTACAAGAGCGGTGGCACCAGGGAACCAAGCTTAAAACACTTGCACCCATGATCCCATCCACCTTTAGGCCAATACTAACACCTCCACATTATTCGCCAGGATACTGTATCGACCCAACCAAGGGTAATAAGAAAGTACAAGCTGTTGAATACTTCAAAGAATAATAGAATCTACTTTCGGAGGATTACATCACAGTCTTCTCAGATAGCTCAGAGCAATATAACCAAGGCAAGTTCATTGAATACGGATATATTATTTGTAGAGGACGAATACTAGCTAGCTTTGGATACAGAGCTATCAACTCACTATCCCATTTTTTCGACGCAAAAGCAATTGGAGCCCTCAAAGGACTCCAGCATGCTATTAGGATAAGTACTGACGAGAGAACCCCGATCACCATGTGTATAGACAGCACCTCAGTCATTTGGCGCATCCGCGCCAGCGCAGCTGCCTCATCACAATGGGTGTTCCTGGAATGCCATAGGATAATGGGAACCCGTGACATCGACATCCGATGGTCCCCGGGCTACACTGGTATTGAAGGAAACGAACAAGTCGATCAATTGGCGGATCTAGGCGCAAAAAGCGGACGAGTATCCGGCAATAATTGTGCACACCCTATAATCAGTGGCATTGGATCGACAGCACGCCTCCTAAAGCAAGCCGCAACTAGCAGCTGATGGTGCAGTGCCAAGAGCTCCCTCTCGGCCACATACTCTGAGTAGGAGCTAGACTACTCCATCAGGGAACCTCCGGAGTTGACCCTGCCAAGGAGCAAGCTCCACCGACTTCTCGTCATATCACCGACGCTTCCAGCACGACGATGCAGAGCTACACTGCATCTGCGGGTACGATAAAACCCCAGACCACATAGTCTTCTACGACTACTCGGTCCGGAGTTTCAGGAGGTGGCCTAACCGGCTCTCCTTCCCCCAGCCACCAAGCGACAAGGGATAAACTATATAAAAAGCCTCCTCGGGAAGCCAAAAGACTTTGAGGACTTCATCAAAGAAACCAGGTGCTTTGAGCACCCCAACCAAGCCAGGTAGGGCATGTCGACCCAATATCTGGTCACTGTCACACAAACCACCCAACTCAAACGGGCCACAACCTCTGAGGCCTGAAACCCGCCGCCGCACTACGGAAAAACTGTGAAACCGCCCCCCCCCAGAGTCATGACAGATGACGACGAGTCCACCCTAAACGGAGTGGGTGATTCGCACTAAAAACGGTCTACCGCGGAGCAGGGACCATAGCTCCTGTGCTTGGCACTAGGACTGAGGCTCGTAGCAGAAATGCGAGCTACTTGGCTATCTCGGGGTGTTGAACATGGATTCCCATGCTTATGTAATTACCGCCTTATTTTAGCCCGTCCCAAGTACCCTTCGGGAGGTCGTGGGTAGGCCCTGGATGTTAATTTATTAAATAAATAAATTTCGTTGTCGATTTTCGATTGGTCATCGTCGTGAAATTATAGTTTCCTGTTACAGGGACAGCCTCTTGGGTCACGTGGAAGTGGCAAGAGCTCTGATCTCGAGGTGGTTTAGACTAAGCTTCAAGTAGGTGGCCGATAAGGTAGTATGGTATTAATATGATTTGCTATTCCTGTAACTATACTATGAAAGTAATGATTGTTCTTGAGCACGAAGCTCTACATTGTAATGAAATCCCATTCCTTATGAACCGATAAGTCGATTCGACAAGGAGAGAAGGAGGCGCGCGGAGCGACGCTGACTATATGGTGGATGGATGCCTTAGGCATCCATCCGAGCTAGCTAGGAACGGGTGGTAAGGATAGTAAGGGTGGTGAACCTGTGACAGGCGTTAAGTCATTATCCAGCAGATGATAGCTTTGCGGAACAAGCAAGAAAAGTGTTCTCGTATGATCGCACAAATTGGTATTGGGTAAATTAATTTGAGTGAATGAATGAAGATGGCTGGGGTAAAGATGAAGATTAAGATATTGAAATTTGGGTAGTGATGATGAATGTTATTATTTGGCTACTTCCTGCATTGTGACTAAATAAAATAAAATAAAAATATTCATTCATTCATTCATTCAAGTGACTTACTTCCCTGACAACATTCATCTTCAATTTACCCAATACCAATTATTTGTGCGATCATGCGAGAACACTTTTCTTGCTTACCCCAATCCCCAACCCCAATGCTCAAAATTAGATAGCTGGTCATTGTACCCAAAAAAGTGAATCTTCGTTATATTAAATTTGAAAGGTGATATCTCCGTTCCAGGCAGCGACGACAAGGGCTCGGTTTTAATTTAAAATCCGAGTGAGATACCGAAGGAAGCCGAGAAGGCTGGGAAATGGATATTATGATGACGTGATTGATAGAATGGGATTGTGTATGGGATGTAGACCGGTGTATGTGAT